CCAGGAGCCAGGTGTTTCTTCCCGGTCTCCCACATGGGTGCAGGGACCCAAGCACTTGGGCCATCTTCCACTGCTTTCCCAGGCCACAGCAGAGAGCTGGATAGGAAGAGGAGCAGCTGGAACTAGAACTGGCGCCCATATGGGGTGCTGGTGCCTCAGGCTGAGGATTAATATGCTGTACCACGGCACTGGCCCCTGCTCCAGCCCCCTGTTAATGTGCCTGGGAAAGCCGTGGAAGATGGCCCAAGTGTTTGAGCCCCTGCACCCACATGAGAGACCTGAAAGAAGCTCTTGGCTCCTGGCTTCAGACTGGCCCAGCTCCAGCCATCGCGGCCATTTGGGGAGTGAACCAGAAGATGTCTCTCACTCTCTGTAACTCCACCTTTCAAATAAATAAATAAATAAATCTTTTTAAAAAGAAAGCAGACATGAAGAGAACCTGCAATTCAAGATGAAGCAGGGGGCTGGCACTGTGGCATAGTGGGTAAACCTGCCACCTGCATTGTTGACATTTCATATTGGCACCTCTTGGAGACCCGGCTGCTCCACTTCTGATCCAGCTCTCTGCTATGGCCTGGGAAAGCAACATAAGATGACCCAAGTGTTTGGGCCCCTGCACCCGCATGGGAGACTCAGAAGAGGCTCCTGGTTCCTGGCTTTGGATCAGCCCAGCTCTGGCCCCTTGTGGCCATTTGAGGAATGAACCAGCAGATGGAAGATCTGTCTCTGCCTCTGCCTCTGCCTCTGTGTCTCTGTAACTCTGCCTTTCAAATAAATAATAAATAAATAAATCGTTTCTTTAAAAATAAAAATACCGGGTTCTAGTCCCGGTCGGGGTGCCGGATTCTGTCCCGGTTGCCCCTCTTCCAGGCCAGCTCTCTGCTGTGGCCCAGGAGTGCAGTGGAGGATGGCCCAAGTGCTTGGGCCCTGCACCTGCATGGGAGACCAGGAGAAGCACCTGGCTCCTGGTTTTGGATCAGCGTGGTGCGCGGGCCGCAGCGGCCATTGTGGGGTGAACCAATGGAAAAAGGAAAATCTTTCTCTCTCTCTCTCTCTCTCTCTCTCTCTCACTGTCCACTCTGCCTATCAATAAATAAATAAATAAATAAATAAATAAATAAATAAATAAATAAAAAATACCCCATAACCAGCTTCTGCTGTCCAGGAGCTCCTATATACAGAGGGGACATCACACTTCTAGAAAACTGTAGGTAGCACATAAGTAGCTTGTGATAAAGGGAAACGTATGTGATACAGAGAACGGTGCTGGAGAAGGTTCCAGGAGGCGTGGGAGGCTTGAGCCAGATGCAGAAGGAAGAAGGAATGGCATTGCCACCCGCCTTTGGAGATCTGCATGTGTGGGCTTTCCAGGGAGCAGGAGGCCAGGGCAGAGCCTGCTGGTTAGAGCACGAGTAGAGATCGCGTGGGGAGAGGGAGAGAGAGAGAGAGAGAGGTCTTCCATCTGCTGGTTCACTCCCCAAATGGCTGCAACAACCGGAGCTGGGCCAATCTGAAGCCAGGAGCCAGAAACCTCCTCCGGTCGCCCACACGGGTGCAGGGGCCCAAGGACTTGGCCATCTTCCACTGCTTTCCCAGGCCATAGCAGAGAGCTGGATCGGAAGAGGAGCAGCCGGGACTAGAACCGGCATCCATATGGGATGCCGGCCCTTCAGGCCAGGGCCTTAACCCGCTGCACCACAGCACCGGCCCCTGAAGCATTTTAAAGTTGGTCTCAGGGGCCAACATTGGGGCCCAGTGGGTTAAGCCGCCACTTGAGATGCTGGCATTATATTGCAGTGCCTGTTTGAGTCCCAGCTGCTCCGCTTCTGATCCAGTTCCCTACCAATGCACCTGAGAAAGTAGCAGAAGACGATCCAAGTACTTGGACCCCTGCCCCCAATTGAGAGACCTGGATGGAGTTCCAGGATCCTGGCTTCAGCCTGGTCCAGTCCTGGCCCTTGAAGCCATTTGGGGAGTGAACCAGCAGTTGGAAGATCTCTCTCTCTTTCCGTCTCTCTCTGTAACATTGCTTCTCAAATACATAAATAAATCTTTAATTTTTTTAATTTAAAAATTAAAAAAGGATGGGTCTCAGACATGAGCCCTCAGGTTTCAGTGCACACTCTGAAATGTGGATACTGTCTTACAACTCCACAGTGCCTTAGTAGTAACAAAATTGAGGGCATGTTGTGGCGCTCTCTCTTCCCCAGTCCACAAAGTTCCCTGGTGATATACAAATCATTACATTGTTGTTTGCTCTCAGAGTAGTTCTGTATCCAAATAACCTTTCATGTTGAGTTGTTTCTTGTCTTTTACTCTGGCAGGTTTGTCTCAGGTGTGCATGGGGTCAGCCTTCCCAAGCCAAGGGTGGGGCGCTGGGAACAGACCCCCAGGAGCCCGATGCTTTGGAGTCAGCCCCAGCCCTCTGACCTGTGTGACCTTGTGCGAGTTACATAACCCTCCACCTGCAGAAGGAGGGCACTGGCGGTGTGGGCTCTCGGGATAATGCGATGACACGAGCAAGTGTGTGCGCAGCCCAGCCATCTCTACCGTGTTGGACTTGGGTGGGGCGGGGGTGTGGGAGGGAGAAGGCCAGACACTCCTGCCCTTGGAACCTGCTTGACCCAGGCTTATAAGGAGAGAAAGCAAACCCAGGGTACCTTTCTGCCTCTGTGTCTGCCTGTCTGCCTCTTGCTTCTCTGTCTCTGTCTCTGTAGCTCCACCTGCTCGGACTCCCCTGTCTCTTGTCTCGTCCTCTCCTTTCTCTGTGTGCCTCTGGTTATCTCTGTCTCTGCACATCTCTCTCCCCTGTGGCTCACAGGGTGCCAGCCCCTGCAGCTTCTCCTGTAACCCATCTCTGGGTATCTTGGGGAGACTGTGTTTCACTGTTTCCATCTTCTGCCCTGAGCCGTCCTGGCTGCTGAGAGCAGGCTCCTCTCCCAGCCTGTCTGGTTCATCCTCATCTCTGTGTATTATTTCCGTCTGCCTCCCTCTCTTTAAATTCCAACCCCCTAAATAGTCACTGAGCAGCTATTCCCTGCCAGGCCCCCTTCTGGTTATGGAAGGGGCAAGTGGTGGCTGGGGCAGAACGTGTGGCGGCTTTCAAGGAACGCTGTTTGAACAGAGAGACAGACACCAGAGGACAGGACAGCCACACCTGTGACCTGGCTGCCCGGCACACCCCCTGGGCACAGGCGTACCTGCCAGGCGCTGTGAGGGACCCACATCCAGGAGCCTGAGCTGGCTCTTTCCTGGCAGTTCTCCTCCCCTAGCCCTGAGCAGGAAACCAGAGGAGGGCGTTTAACCCGTTCACACCCTTAGCAGCACGCATCAGGAGCCAGGCTCGGGGAGACCAAAGCCCATAGGAGACAGGTCCTAGGTTAGGTGAAACCCCGACCTGAAGCAGGAGGGAGGCAGTGGAAAGCAAGGGCAGAGGCGTCGGGTGCCAGGTGCCAGGAGGCCCCCCCTCCCCTCCCTACCTCTGACAGCATTGCCCTATGTAGGGTTAAAATCTATTAGAGCAGCTGTGGTCTTTTTCTGAAAAAATTATTTTTAGTGAGCATTAGAAAATGGAGATCTTTTGTACAAAACTCAGGATTTCCAGTTTGAAAAAAAAAATCAGAAGCCCGGGCTCTTTTCAACATGACGATAGTTAGTTCGAGCTTTCTCGTGGCTACCCCTTTGATGAGGGCTCCAGCTGCCAGGCCAAGTGCCCGCCAAGTCCTCCTGTGTCCCTGGCCTGAAGGTCAGGGTCTACTGCCCCCGTGTCACTGCAGATCTTACACAGCGTCGCTCTCTATGCTGGAGAAATAGGTCTCTGTGCTGTCTCCATCAAAAGTGAGGGAATGAAAGCTCATAGCTGAGGGATGCGGCGGAGCTGAGCTTGTGTGGCCCCAGCCGTCACGCACCTCCTGCTGGCAGCTTCTCATCCCTTGCCAAGGTGGCCTGCCCCTGGACCCCAGGTCGCCTCTACCCAGCAGGGTCAGGAGCCTATCGGCAGCCCCTCCCCCACACGGCCAGTAGGACTCCTCCAGGGACATCCAGTGCCTCTCTCCCAACCATTGCCACTGTCCTGGGCTCTGGTGGGAAGGTGGCTGGCTTACTGGGAAATCTGTAGAAGGGACAGTCAGGCCCATGACCACTGCTTCAGGACAAAAGAAGAGGGGGGCTCCCTTCAGGTCAAGAGCTCTGGGGCCAGCACTGTGGTGCAAAGGGTTAATGGGTTGCCTGTGATGCCAACATCCCATGTGAGCTCTGGTTCAAGTCCTGGCTGCTCTACCCCAATCCAGCGTCCTGCTGATGTGCCTGGGAAGGCAGTGGAAAATGGTCCAGCTAGCTGCTTGGGCTCCTGCCACTCATGTGGGTGACCCACATAGCCCAAATGGCACAGGCCTGGCTCTTGTGGCCATTTAGGGATTGGACCAGGGGATGGAAGATCTCCATCTGTCCCTCCTTCTCTCTGCTGCTCTGCTTTTCAAATAAATAAATCTTAGATAAAAAAGAAGGGCTGGGATTTTGGTGCAGCGAGTTAAGTCAAAGCTTGCACTCCAAGTTCAAGTCTTGGCTGCTCTGCTTCTGATCCAGCTTTCTGCTAATATGTCTGAGAAAGCAGTGGATGATGGCCCAAGTACTTGGGACCCTGCCACCCACACGGGAGGTCCAGATGGAGTTGTAGGCTCCTGGCTTCAGACTGGCCCAGATCTGGTTTTGCAAACATTTAGGGAGTAAACCAACAGAGGCAAGATCTCTCTCACTCTCTCTGTACTTTTGCCTTTCAAATAAAATAAATAAGCAAATTTTGGGTAAAAAGAAAACCCCAGAATTCCCTGTAGCCCCGGTCTTCCCGCGGAGGCCACTTACTCTCACCCTCCCCCACTCCCTGCACCTGCAGATGCAGGCTGGGGGAGGGTGGGGTCGGGGAACCTGGATCCGGGCAGGAACCCAGAGGAAAGGGCACATGTGACCGAGCGAGAGAGGCCCAGGAGCCACGGAGACTGCTGTTCTTAGTCATTCTCAGCGTACATTTATTGCGTGCTTCCTGTGTGCCAGGGAGTAAGCCAGGTGCTAGAAATAGCAAAGGGGCGGGGGAGAGTCAGGGTCATCGACTGAGCTGTCAGTGATCCTGTACTGGCCTGATGGACACGGGACAGACGGAAACTTCAGGCACCACTCTGAGGGCCCGGCTGTTCTTTCTAGAACAGAAAGGGATTCAACGAGGCAGGATGGTTTCCTCTTTCTCCCTCCAGGTAAACAGGCACAGACGAGCCCCTGGACCCCCTGCACACATGCACACACACGCACAGGGAGTGGCACCCCCAAGCATTTCCACAAGCGGGAGGCGTGAAGGCTGATTGAAGCCACCCCACTCAACAGAAACCTGGCTACACTCATACATTCTCTTGAGACACTTTTTGGCCAAATATCTTATGAAAATATGAATAAAACATCAAAGAAATGTGAACAAAGGAGCAACACCTTAAGGCTTCGCTTAAAGAGGCGTTCTGTGAAGACAGGGGCAGGGGCTACCAGCCTCACTTGACCTGGTCACGTTGCGTGGGCCGTGGCGAGGGTGCTGTCTGCACTCTCCTGGGGTCATTGGTATGTGGCTGTTGGGTGCCAAGCCTGGCACAGCGCAGATACATCGCCTACTTGTGCTCTTGGCTGCACTGGGAGGGTATTGCTGCCTCCATTTTACAGCTGAGAAAACTGAGGCTCCAGACTGGCTTCAGGTCGAGAGCGCACGTCGGGGGCCTCTAACTTCCGCTGCTCCCTCCCTTACTTCCTCCTTGGCATGTGGAGACGCAGCCTCCCTCTGGGAAGGTGGCCATCTGGGAGCTGCCAGTGGCTCCATGCTGGCAGGGCGATGTCACAGCTCCTCAGGGCACTCGGGAGCCCTGTGCCAAGCCCAGGGCGTGAGCGTGGTTGGAAGAGGGGCCCAAGCCCACTTGCCGGCCCTGACCTCGCACCGCGGGGGAAGGCTGCAGCCCCTGTATAACGAGTCCCCTTACTTTGGAGGACCTGACCTCTGAACCCCATGGCCACCACCCTCGAGGTGGGCCCCCGGTCTTTGGCACAGATAGGGCACCTCACTGCCCCAGGAGCCATGAGATCTATCCCATTACACTTCGGGAGAAGGCAGCTGCGGCTGAAAGGGCCCCTGGAGCCGAGTCTCCTGGGGAGACTTGCCAGAGCTCTGTGGCGGGAGCCCCCTCTCAGTGCCTGGCCTACAGCTTCTCCCCACCCCGCTTACACAGGCATCAGCACCCCCTGTGTGAATGCGCTTGTGCCCCGTCCTGGGGCGGACGCACATACGATGCCGATACTGGGAGCTCCCCGCCTGTAGTGCCCTCGGGGCCTGGGGTCTTGTGATGGCCTCCTCACCCTGCACAGCCCAGACCACTGTAAGGAGGGGCTGAGGAGCCCCAGCAGTTCTGAGCAGGATGCTACTGGGTGCGAGAGGGGCAGAGATGGAGGCTAGGAGATCCGTGACCCGGCCTGCGACTTTCTCTCTGGCCCTTGGGAGACCTGGGCTGTGGTCAGAGGCCCAGAGGGTTTGGAGGAAGCCAAGCACCAAGGAACACAGGACTCTCATGGTGAGGGAGACTGAGGCCGGCCCAGCCCCCACACCCTGCTCAGAACCATGGGACCCACAGCGCTTCCTGCGCCTTCCCATCAGGAGCCTGCACGACGGGGTCGGGGGTGGGGTGGGGCAGGCAGTGGCTACTGTGTCCAGCGCCCACCACCAGCCGTGGTCGCTTCTCCTCCCAGGAATCACTCTTCCAAGGGCCCATCAGCCTCCAGGCCCGATTCTACCCAGCAGAGGTCGCCTCACTCCTGAGGATGCTCTTGGCTCCTGGGGCTGAAGCCACCCTGACCCAGAGGCCGGCAGCCCGAGTGGACCTGGTCTGGAGGGTCCTGCATGCTCCAGTGGAAGACCCCCACGCAGGTCCTGCCCCTAGCCGTGAGCAAGCTGCTCCACTTCTCTGGGCCTCAAGCTTGCCGACTGTAGAATAGGCAGGGCAGTGTCTGCTGAACTGCAGTGTTGTCACGACTCCACGGTAACAGGACCTGTCAACTCTACACAGGGCAGAAGCCCCGGCCCCGACGGGGGGTGGTGGTGGTGGTAGCGCCCTCCCCACCTGGCTGGCCCCAGCCTCTGCACCTGCTTCCATTTTGGTGCTTCTGCTCCCATGCACCATTGGCCCCAGCATATATTCCACCCTCGATTCTAGTTTCTCAGTGCCTGTTCCTTCCCACAGAGGGCGACACCTGGCAGCTCCCACTCTGGCCTGGTCTGGGCACTGCTGGGCATGCACAGGTCGCACCTGCCCAACCTTTTTTTTTTAAACTTTTATTTAATGAATATAAATTTCCAAATCACCTGCCCAACCTTGATATTTGTTTCAACTTCGAAGGAACCCCGTCCTCGTCTTCCTCCCAGTGGGTTTGAAGCCCTGGGAAGAGGGAATCACAGCCAGAGGCAAGGCAGGACTCCACACTGTCAGCCAGCGTCCTGGGAGCTCCGGCAGCACCCAGAGCCACAAAGTTGGTGAGCATGGGTACAGCGCTGCAAGTGCTGACTGTGAGAACAGGCTTGATGGAACTCAGCGTCTCCCAGACCTGAGGACAGAACCTGTCTCCTCCCCACGCCCCAGAATAACCATCACCATATCACAGAACTAGTGGGAGATGTGCATCTCGCTCTTTTCGGTTTTGATTGTTAACATGTGAGCAGCCTGAAGCCTGGAGGTTCTGTGGGCAAAAGGTGCTTAACTGTTCCCACGGAGCTGTGTGGGCCACCCCTCCCACGCTCTGTCGTCCCTGCCGCATCCACACTGCTCTGCTCCCTAGCCCGCGGCTCTCCTGGTGTCACCCTCCCTCCTGAGCTCAGGGTTGTGGGACGGCCCACAGGTCACATGTGTAGGAGATGGAAGGGGCTGGGATAAAGGGGGGGGGGTGCACTTCTGGAGCCTGCACGGGCCCACTGTATTCGGCGGTATGAGAGCAAGGCCTCTCCCCAGGTGGTTGCTACCCCGAGACGTGAGCAGCTGTTTGGGCTGGGGCTTGGCAGTGGCAGCCCATCTCATCCTGCCTGCCTTCACCACCAGGCTCATGGGGCCGTGTACTGACATGCTAGGAGGGGCATCCCTCACTAGGAGCAAAATGGGTTTATTGCTTTATTAAAAAAAAAAAAAAGGTGATAAAACCCAGAGAAAAACAACTAAAAACCTGAAAACCAACCCAGCCCTCTCAGCGCCCCAGGAAGTCTGGGACATTTCTGGGGCAGGCAAAGCGGGTGGGTTGCTGAGAGCCTGGCAGGCCTAGCCTCCCCCATGGAAACAGCTCCTGGTGCTGGCGCCATCTACCAGCAGGGGGCGCTGTGACCCTGAATGAGCCCAGGCCTTGAGCAAGGCTTGGCTCCACGGGTGGGCCCGCTGCAGGCCTGGCTGGCTCCTGTCTGGGAGATACCCAGAGCCCACCCCTTTTACCCCATCCCCGTCTCACGCACACCACATACATACACACACGCACACACTCCCCTCCGCCCCTCCCAAACCTGCTCACCCACATCTGCATCTGGGAGCCACAGCCTTACTCCCATCCCACGAAAATAGCTGTGGGAAGGGGGGCTAAGGCACACCCCTTTATCTCACGTAGGCTGCAGACTGGACTGGGGGTGGCAGTGGAAACGTCTTCCCCTCCCCAGGACACGAGGGGGGAGCTTAGGGAAAACCAGGAGGCTTCGTCCCCAGCTGCTGAGGCTCTGTGTGATCTCCCGCCCTCCGCCCCCTCCCCAGCCTATGTGCTGGGGGCTGCCCCGCTGGCCTTGAATGGGAGGCCAGGCCCTGTGTGTCCAGGCCACAGGGGGCTGGAATCACAATGGAGTTAGCACCAACAACAGGAAGCGGGTCCTTCCTTCCTTAGGCAGCTTCAGACTGGCCAGGGGAGGAGGTGAGGGCCAGGCAAGGGGGTGCAGACAGAGCAAGCTTTGTCCTCAGCGGGTGTGGCTGGTGGGCATGCGGCCGAGGAGCAGGTGGCGGGCAGTGGATGGCGGACTCCTCTGCTTTGGCAGGAGGCAGACTCCAGACTCTGGAGGGCGAACACCTGCCCACAGACAGCACGCGAGCCCCAAGGCCTCAGCCCCCCGGGGCCCCTCCGACAGTGGAGGACCGCAGTCCTGAGCGCTCTCAGGCTCCTCACTGCAGGCCCGGGGCCTGGGCGGGAGCGTGGGTGCCGCCATGGTGAGGGAGAGCATCCTGGGTCGTGGGCCGGCAGCAGGGAGGGCCGAGGCCGGCTCCGTCTGACGGCGGCGGCTACACGAAGGCCTCTCGGTTGGAGGAGCCGTTGATCTTGAGGAAGAGCTTGTCATCCTCCTGCTTCTGCCGCAGCTGCCGCTCCAGCTGGCGCCGGTAGCAGACCAGGTAGAGGGGCAGGCAGAAGCCCAGCATGCTCACCACCAGCAGCCCCACATTTACCTGCGAGGGAGGCAGGGCCATCAGCCATGGCCGGCTCCGTCACGCCATGGCCGGCTCCAGGCCCTCCCTCGCCCCAGCTTAGGGAATGCGATCAAAGTCACAGCGGAGGTCGAACACCGAGAAACACTGACTTCCCCAGCTCTCCTGCCCCCCCTCCCCCAGGCTGGCTCCGTCTCCCGGGCCAGCGGGGCCAGGGTGCGGCTGGGACAGGAACTCTGATCCCCCATTCACAAGGGGCCCTCGCCTGGTTCTAACCGAAGCTCCTAAACCGCCTGTCCCCAGGGCTCCGAAGACCCCTGGGTGAGGCCTCCCAGCCCACGCCCCCGACACTTCTTACCCACAGAGGGTCTCCCTTCAGGGGACCCATCATGGCCAGAAACAGCGGCTGCTGCAGGAGGGCAAAGAGCGCGCTGATCAGAGACTGCAGGCCCGTGAGGCTGCCGAACTGGGTGGAGGGGTACCTGTGGGGACGATGCAGACCCGTCAGTGCCCCCTCGACTTTCTGACACCTTTGCCTCCACCTGGCTGCAGGTGCGCCAGTGCCCCAGGCCGCACCTTTGGGGCCAGAGAAGGGGATGCCAGCCCCTGGCTTGCTTTCTGATGAGCAGGTCTGCCAAGGGCTTCTCTTTCAGACCGGCCTGAGGCCCCAGACTCTGGGGAGGGCTCGCCCCACCCAGATGCGCCCCAGGCCCTTGGGTGTCTGGCTGCGCTGAGTGGAAAGCGTGGTGCCAGCCAGAGTCTGCGGCTTGGGAAACAGGCCCAGGGAGCAGACGGGAGGCCGGGCCCGGCTCCGCAGTGCCCTTATCCAGAGGAGCGTTGTGTAATCACGGAAACTCGGCATCACAGCTCTTGCCTGGCTCCCTCAGGCCCGGCCAGGGCAGCCGCAACTTCCTCCAGGCCTGTGGGAGCGAGGCGGGGGACAGCGGACCTGGAATGACCCCGTGGGATGCTGCTGGGAGAGGGAGAGCTCTGGGCTTCATCTCAGCTGACAGCTCTCACAGAGACGGAGAGACCATGGGCTGACGGTGTTTGGGTTCTAGTTTTGGGGCCAAGCCCTGGGTCAATGGAGGGACAACAATGTAGCCTCTCAGAAAAAGAGGGGGTTGCATTTTAGCCAAGGCCTGAGAAGCCTGCAGCAGAGCAGGGCCCCCGTGGCCAGGTCTGGGCTCAGGTATGCGTGACCCTGCCCCTACCGAGAGCCACCTGGACTGTGACACCTCGCCCCAGGCAACCAGAACCCACCCATCCTTCCCAGGGGGCAGCCAGGGACAGCCCAGGACATGGCTGAGCAGTGGCCCTTGAGGCCATCACGCACTGCCCAGGGGCACTGACCCTGGCTGGGGAGCTGACTTCGTGCTAAAGGCCGAGGCTGGTGAGCACCCAACTGTCTCCAGGCATGGCCTTCCCTGAGCCATCCAGCAGAAGCCCCTGTCCCCTGATTCAAGAAGACAACCCTGCTGGCCTCAGGGCCTTGCTACCACCTGCAGCTTCAGCCTGATCTCCTTGTCCCCGGCAGCCTGCAGGACTTACACGGCAGCATACAGGCCCCCGACGGCAGAGTGGATGAAGCCTCGCACGATCGTGTGCAGGATGAAGGAGAAGATCTGAGGGAGAGCAGAGCGTGAGCAGGAGACCATGGGGCCTCATCTTGTCCCCCGCCCTCCCACCTGCAGTCCCGAGCAACAGGAGCGATAAGAACCCGGAGCTGCCTGAGCCAGCTCTCCAGAGCCAACCTGTGAATTTTAGGACTTTAGTGAGCCAGTTGTTAAGCATAATCTTCTTTTTTTTAAAAAAAAAGATTCATTTATTTATTTGAAAAGTAGAGTTCAAGAGAAAGTCAGGGAGAGGTCTTCCATCTGTTGATTCACTCCCCAAACGGTTGCAACTGCTGGGGCTGGGCCAGGCAGAAGCTAGGGGCCTGGAAGTCCAGCTGGGTCTCCCACATGGGTGGTAGGGCCCAAATACTTGGGCCATCTTCTGCAGCTTTCCTAGGAGCATTAGCAGGGAACTGGGTTGGAAGTGGAACACATAGGACTTGAACCGGGATCCATTTGGGATGCTGCATCCCAACTGACAGTTTAACCCACTATGCCACAATGCCAGCCCCATAGTCATTATTAAAAACTAAATTATACAGGGGCCGGTACTGCGGCACAGCAGGTTAAGCGGCCATCTGGGGTGCCAGCATCCCACGTCGGAGCGCTAGTTCGAGTCCTTGGCTGCTTTGCTTCCAATCCAGCCCCCCGCTGTGCCTGAGAAAGCAGTGGATGATGGCCCAAGTACTTAGGCTCTTGTTACCCACATGTGAGACAGGGATGGTGTTTCCCAGCCTTGGAACCATTTGGGGAGTGAAGAAACAGCAGATGGAAGATCTCTTTGTCGCTCTGTTTTTCCCTGTTTATCTGACTCTGCCTTTCAAATAAAATAGAATCTTTAAGAAAACTAAATTATACAAACTTACAAAGAAATAAGTAATATTAGAACGAAGGTTGGGACTGGCAGTGTGGACAGCAAGGAAAGCCATGGCCTGGGATGCCAGCACCATAGGGGTGCTGGTTCAGCTCCCAGCTGCTCCACTTCCGATCCAACTCCCTTGCTAATGTGCCTGGGAAAGCAGCAGAAGATGGCCGAGTCCTTGGATCCCTGCCACCTTTGTGGAGAACTGGATGGCTCCTGACCTCAACCTGGCAAAGCCCTGGATATTGTGGCCACATGGGGAGTGAACCAGTAGATGAAATCTTTCAAATAAAAAATAACTTTAAAGGAAAAAAAAAAAAAAAACAAAAAAGGTGCCAAATACTCAAAACTCCTCAGTTCCCAAAATGCTTCGCTGTGGCCTTGTCCTGTGGACGCAACTGCGGCCCTCTTCCCACTCCACTATTGGTGGCATTGTGTTGGAGGCTTGAGGTCAGCGTCCGTGGCAGGGAGAGATGTAAGGGCCATGTGCCACCCCAACCTTCACCCCCACGGGACTGTTGATAAGTACGCGTCAGCAGAGCGCTGGGCAGCAGCGTGGGAATCCTGACCTCTGCCTGCCTGAGCACCTGCCCAGAGGCCCCCCTGCCTGGTGGCCCAGCCCTGCCGACTGGTAACCACCATCACACCGAGCAAAGTCTTCCCAGGAAGGCCACTGCGGGCAGGCTCAGCAAGCCTCGGGAAGCCCTTGAGAGGCACAGGAGCAGCCCACGTGGCCCCCAGGACCCTGCATTTGTCCTTTGTACACAGCTCTGCCATCTTGCTCAGCAGCCAGCACCTGCTCCCAGGAGTGCAGGAGCTGCAGGAGGCTGGGGCTGCTCTTGGCAGGGCGGAAAGAGGACCTGCTCAGATGTGCACACCACCACCCCACATACATGCGCGCGCGCGCACACACACACACACACACACACACACACACACACTTGGGCAGGCTCCCCCACCCCACTTCCAGTGCTTTGTTCTCTTTTCTCAGCTTTGCCTTCGATGAGAACTGAGTCAAACAGGGGACAAGCCTGGACAAGGTGGTCAGGGCAGGGTCTGCCAGTCATGGAGGGAGGGCAGCTCAGCAGGACAGCGAGGCCACCGGGGACGTGACGGTGCTGCCTCCTGGCACTGGTGCAGGTCTTAGATGGCTTGTGGCAGCAGTGTTGGCACAGAGAGGTAACAGTGGCCGTGGGTGTGCACACCTGGGTATTTAACATACCTCAACACCTAGCCACGTGTAAAGAGGCGGGAGCTTGTCTGAGATAACATCTACACTTGGGTTACACCTGTCTGGAAGCAGCGCCATCGCTCCAGTCCCTCTTAGGTTTACACATCTGGAGAACAGTCCGAAACCTATGGCCAGACACTTTCAGGCAGGCGAGAGTCTGCATTGCTCTCAATCTTGCCAAAATGTGGGTTTCAAAAATCACCAGAAATCCCCAAAGGGAGTGAGCTTTGAAACCCCAGGGAGCAGAGACCCCATCGGCACGCGTGAACCACTGCACCAGGTAGGTCAGCCCCTGTCGGACATCGAGTCACCCCAGGCGACCCCACACAGCTCCTGGCACCAGCACCGTGGTGCAATTCACAGTACACAAGATGCCCAAAGGACCCGCAAACAATGAGCCTCCACAGAGGGGAGCCTTCGGTGAGAGCCATCTAGGGCCCCTTCCGGTCACCTCCACCGCCAGCACAGAGCCCACAGGTCCCAGGCGCCCGATGGCGGGCTGGCTGAGGAACTCGGGCGTGGAAAAACTGTGTGCTTGGCGGAAAGCTTCCTCTCAGTCTGCACCCGTGCCCCCGGTCGGCCCCTCCCTGCCCGACACCCACCTGCAGCGGCAGGTTGGGAATGAGGCAGGTCACCCCGAAGCCCACGAGCAGCAGGTTGGTGAAGGCGAAGGCCCGCATGGCATTGGTGATCTTCTGGATCTGCCGGTCCCGCTGCTTCTTCTTCTTCTCGCCTCTGTGGAGACATGGGGCATACAGGGGCTGGGGGGCTCCCTGGAGGAGGGCTGCAGGACCCACGCACGACTCCAAGGCCGCCTGAGCACAGTTCAGCAGCCCTGGGGATGCCACCTGCAGCATCAGCGGAGAGAGGCATGCGCCCGGCTGGGAGGTGCCGTGCCTGCCTTCACCACTGCCTTCAGGCTCACCCCAACCGTGCAGGAAGTAGATAATGGGCCTGACTGGGAAGCCAAATGAGGGAGTACGCAGATTTCCCCTGGGGGGCGGGAGGGGGTGAAGGAGAGATATCTGCCACAGATGGGCCCCGAATGGGCACAGGTAAGCTCCTGGCTGTAGAAGCTGAGCTAGATAACACAGCACACTCTCTAATTATGTCCTGTGATTAGCGACCACTGATCCCAGCCTCAGCACCCACACAGACACCCCAGGGACCACCCCGAGGCTTCCAAGAAGGAATGACAAGGGCTGGGGGATGAGCAGGCAGACGCAGGCCCATCACTTCTGGTGTGACCCAGCTCCAGCTCTTAACCTGTAAAATGGGTACAGCACGAGCACACCCCATCATGATGTCGTGAAGCTTAACTGAGGCTGTGACAGGGCCGGATGCAATCCACAGCAGCATGCCATGTTAAATGGAGGCCAACAGATGGCATTTAGCTCGACCTCTGACCCGAGAGCACAGCCCATGCACACAGTAGGGCTCCAGGCCCTCATTTCAGCCTCCCGATCCTCGGCAAATCAATAAACACCCACGTGGTGGCCAGTGCAATGCTGCTCGCACCCCGGCCCCGCCATCCCTCCTCCGTCCACACGGAGGAGCAGGGCCCCACACGCGTGCAGGGCTGGCAGAGCGAGGAGCGCCTTTAAGGACTTGCACCAGCAGCGTGGGCACACGGCTCTCGCGCCTCCCCCGCCGACTATGAAGTGCCAGCACCCGGCTTCCGCGGGGCCAGCTGGGCCTACGCACTGGTTGGCGTCCTTCTCCTCGGACTCCTCGGAGCCATCCTCACACTCCTTCAGCCTCCAGTCCATGATGTAGCCGATGACCGGGGCAGTGAACAGGCAGAGCAGCTGCAGCACGCCGAAGATGGATGTGTAGAGGGCCACTGCAGGGAGACGGCCACGTCACGGGGGCTGTGGGCACAGGGCCAGGCGCTGGCACTGCAGCCCCGCCTCCACGTGGGGAGCCCAGAAACCCCAACCTCGGAAAGCAAAGCCAGAGCAAGGGGCAGGTCACTGGACCCCTGTTCCAATGCCTGCTCATGTCTGAGAAGCAGCTAATGAGATCTGGGGCCACACGACCTCCCCAGAAGCTCCAGGAAGTCTCCATGACTCGGGAACCACAGAATTACCAATGCTCAATGCCGGGACTCGTGCCCAGGGATCTGTGTGCGGCCGACCACGGGCACCCGCCTCTCGAAACACGGCAGGCAGGCAGCACTCACAGGGGCCTCTCCTCAGACTCAACACTGTGCGGCCAGCTTGCAGGGACATCGGAGCTGGATGCTGACCGCCCACCCCACCCCCACCCCACCCCTCTCACCCAGACAGGGGGTTTCTGCTTGAACAGAGACTGGTTGGGGGGGGGGGGCTGTTGCCACGTTCACTGACAATCCCCCTGCTTACCTGTGGCCATCACTGCACCGAGAAAGCAAAGGCAAAAAAGCAGAAAGGAGAGAGCTAAGTGGCAGAGACAACAAGGCCGTTCTAAAGGCACGGGGAGGGGAGCAGTGGGCTCAGGGCCGGCACCCCTCACCCCAGGCCCCACTCCAGGAGTGCTCAGAGGGGCCTGAGCTCAGGCCAGGCTGCGGGGAACGGGCTCAGAGGAGGCCCTGCTCACGCCTTCCCGCCTGCTGGCGCCTCGCTCACGTGCAGCTGTGAATCAGCACCGTGACGCTGGCCAGGCGCTGGACGGGGAAGTGGCGTCTGCGTGCGGAAGGCCTGGCAGTCAGAGCCCCGCTCTGTCACAGCTGCCCCCGCTGTGCGCACACCCAGCACATCCCTTCCATCAGCAATCTCCCTGCTGCGTGAGAGGGGAAGAAACCCGCCCTGGACACCCGGGCCAGGCATAACAACACAGGTCTCCCCCAGACAGCCAGAGCTGGCTTCCCTACATGCCCCTGGCTCCCTGCAGAGCCAGGGCAGGGGGTGCTGGTGGCACAGGCCACAGGAGCAGGATGGGGAAGACCGATGCCCTGTGCACCACAGCACAAACTTCCTGGCCTGACTTCTTCTACCTCTTGAAACTGAGTCTGAATATAGGAAGTAGCTGAACAAATTCCTCTTGGACAGCAAACGATTTCTCAGAGACTTTCAGTAAAAGACCACGGCTCCACAGCAGGAGGCGGCCTTCGGGGGGCGAGGGCACTCTCTGCACATCCGGGGTCTCCAGCCTTGTAGCCTGAGGGTGTTTACACAGGGTAGGCCAACTCTCCAGAGTATGCCCCACAGATCTGAGTGTTTCCACAAAAGGGAGTTCTCTCTGAGAAACCAGGGAACCCTGCTGGCTACACAAAGTCAACAGGGCTTGGGCGTCTGGCACGGCGCTCAGGCTGCCACCTGGAACACCAGCATCCCACAGGGTGCCTGAGCTCGAGTCCTCCCTCCACTTCTGATCCCAGCTTCCTGCTAATGCACACCCTGGAAGGCAGCTCAAGGACTTGGGAGGCCTGGATCGAGTCCTGGCTCCTGGCTTTCCCCTGGTCCAACCCCAGCTGTTGTGGGCATTTGGGGACTCAACCAGTGGACGGGAAATCTGTATGTGTGTGTGTGTGTGTCTGCTTTTCAATAAAAGTACATAAATATATAAAATACAAAAATAAAGTACATAAAAAATAAAATACAAAAATAAAGTACATAAATAAATGAATTAAAAAAAAACTTGGGGCTAGCACTGTGGTGCAGTGGGTAAAGCCTCCACCTGCAGTGCCAGCACCCTATATTGGTACCGATTGGAGTCCTGGCTGCTCCACTTCTGATCCAACTCCCTGCTAATGTGCCTGGGAAAGCAGTAGAAGATGGCCCAAGTGCTTGGGTCCTCACGCATGTGGGATAGCCAGATGAAGCTCCCAGCTCCTGGCTTTGGATTGGCCCAGCTCTAGCCACTGAGGCTACTGGGGGCAGTGAACTGCAGATGGAAGACTTCTCTGTCTCTGCCCCTGTCTAAGTCAGCTTTTAAATAAAGAAGTAAAATTAAAAAAAAAAAAAGAAAAAACAAAAAACCCAAAGTTAAGCAGTGGTTTCCCCCTTTGCAAGCCCTGCTCGCTGGGCTCCGCCGGGACACCCGCGACACTGGGCGTTTCCACTCTACTCCACCGCCAGCCCCATCTCCACGGGGAGCCCGGGCTCTCTTGTCCCCTGTAACAACCGACATTTGATTCCTTACAGGCCTGGGATGTCTTCCTCCAGAGAAAAACAAGTAAGCAAACAACAGAAAAGCTGCACACGGCGAAACCGCCCGCGGGACGCAGCTGCGAGTGTTTGTCGGGCTTGGGGCTAGCGCTGAGTCAGCTCGCCCTGGGAAGGGCTGGCTTCCTCTGTAGGTGCAAACCGGCTGGGCAGCTGACAGCCTTCTGCGTTGTTTGGGAAAGCATGTGGGTTATCAGCTACACTTCCCGGAGTTAACAAGCCTCAACCAGTTGGGCACTCCGCCTGGGCCTGCTTCAGTGCAGGGTGCCCTGGGGGCGGGCCTCCGGCGCTGGGCTTCACTGGCCAGCTCTGAGCCAGCTCGGGTGGGGGACTCTGCAGGGCTCTCGCCCGCAGCCCTGCATGCCACCCCCTCCAGCCCTGGAAAACACACGCCACACACGCCACACCCCAAGCACACGCAGCTATTTCAGTCCTTGCCTGCCTCCTACACTGGGAAACCTTGATGGGGACATGAAGGAGCCGTCGGGGCTGGTGGTGACGAAATCTCCCCAATGCGTAAACTGTCGGGGATTTCGCCAGCGCAGCCTCACACACTCCAGCCGGCCGCCTAGACTCCGGCCGGTGGGATGAGCCCCACGCCCGCAGGGCTGTGCGCCAGGGCCCAGGGCCCACCTACCTATCTTCTGATCGCCGCTGACCAGGAACTCGAGGATGCTGTTCATGGCGCCCATGTAGAAGATGAGCCGTAGCTGAGTGACGCACATGGTGACCAGGCTGAGCAGCAGGATGGGGCTGAACACGCTGTGCATGAACGAGGGGGCCGCTGCGGGGAGAAGGTGCGGGGGCTCAGGGCCAGGGGCACGGCCCACCTGGGCTGGGCGCGGGAGGTCAGATCTGCCAAAAAGCCTTTCTCACCCATGCTGGAGGTGAGGGGTGGGGAACTTAGTGACAGGTCTAGGGGAGGCTCACGGGCTGGTGCTGGAGTGGGGCAGACCTCCTAGCCCCCTTCCGGGATAAGGTGGGAATTCAGGGAGATGTCCCCACAGAGCCTCAGCAAGCACGCCCAGGTCCAGGTTGGCCGGCCTGCCCTCCTGCCCAGGAAGGAGAGGGCCGCGAAGCGGGTACCTGCGGCGTCCGGCTTGCACTTCACCTCCAGGTCCATGGTGGACAGGCACAGCTGGTGGCCCTCCTGCAGCGCCGCCTGTTCCTTGGTGCTCCTCATGGAGCTGCCCACGCTCAGCCGGCGCCCCACCGTGGTCACCTGCTTGTAGAACTGTTTCCCTGTGATCTTGTGGTCAAAGCCCAGCCAGCTGAACTTGATCTTCACCCTGGAGGCCGAAGGAGAGTGTGTGTTGGCACTGCCCAGGACCCTGGCAGGAGCGAGAGCATGGGGGCAGACGGCGCGGCTACTTACGTGTAGTCCATGTCCTCCGGGCCCGGGAAGGGCTCCAGAGGCCAGTTAAAGAAGCAGTTGAGGAAAACCAGCCCGGAGCAGCCAGCCCAGACCACGAGGATGATGATGAAGGACACTCCGGAGTCGTAGATGAGCTGACCATGATGGAGGGGGGCAGAGGGACAGAGTTAGCAGAAGAAAGCCGTAGTTGGCAGCAGGCCGGGGGCGTCTGGCAGCCCCTGCCCTCCCTGTGCAGAGCTGCGCGAGGAGGCACAGCCCCGTGAGCCTGGCTGTCTGCTCATCCGTCGCCCCACGAGCCAACAATCCCTGCTCGTCTGCACGTGCTGGTAACCTGCCGGGGGTGCTTCCACTTGGACTGTTTGCTACCGCCTGGCAGAGGCCTTTGTGGGCCATCCCGCCACTGTATGACTCTGATTACTGGGCCCAACAGCCAGTCTGGGTGGACCCTGGTTACTCGTCTGTGGTTATTCTAGAGCCCGGAGGACAGGCACCTGCTAGCCTTGCCCACCTAGAACACCCAGGGTCTTCAAAAAGTTCGTGGAAAATGCATAGGATAACAAAAACTGTGCATGGGCTTCCAAATCATTTTGCATCAAAATAAACTTGTCATTCCGCTTTCCCGCACACTGCTGGAGGCACCCCTACATCTGGTAGGTGCCAGAAGCACATGCGAGGGACGCACAGATGGACGTGTCTCCCTTTGCTCCTGTGTGACACGCGCTCGCCTGGTGTGGCGGGGTTACGCCGTGTGGCCTGGCGGCGTGCTCGGCACGGGAGCACGCTGCATGCCACAGCCTGACTACCATTGACTTCCAGCACCTCCACAGGCGGCTCCAGGAAGGACAGCAGCAGGGAGACCCTGAGAAGGGGAGGACACACTGGCCGGCTCCTCCACACCACGAGCAGGGAATTCTTGAAGGTCCCCACCTCCTCCTCCTCCATTCCCAGGTGAGCAGCCTGCCTGGGCCCCCCTGTCCACACACGCCTGAGGGGACAGGCCCGTGCTGAAGGCCCGGCAGGAGTGGGGCAGACCACGGAGGAGTCTGCCACACCATGACCACACCCCAGCCTCGTGAGATTCCCAGTGCTACCCGCGAGGGAAACAGCTGAATGGACTTGGCCGCGGGCAGAGCTTTCGCAGGTGGGGAGCAGCAGCCCGACAACAACAGGCGTGGGTGACTGGAGTAGGAGCCAGAGCCAACTGCTCCTCCCCCCACCCCAGCCCGCGGGCGGCAACACCTGCAGCAAAGAGCAGGTTCCTGGCCCGGGCGGCCCACAGCGCTCTTTGCTCCGTGCTGAGGCCCGTGGTGCCCAGGTGCATCCTGTCCAGGTGGGCTTGGGGCAGCGGGGCCACTCCCGGCTCCCATAGTGACGTCTCTGTCCAGAGAGGGTGGAGGGAGCTGCTAGCGCAGAGGGAACGTGCTGGAAACCTGCTGTCCGCATCTCACCTTGATTCCTGGGAAGGTGACGGCCGAGGAGGCATAGGAGCCTATCATCAAGGCGATAAACGTGGACCGAAGGTCGCCGAACATGTTGGGCAGCTGAAGGAGAAGGGGCAGATCTCAGCAGAGAGGGCGGGGGCAGGGGCGCAACAGAGGACTGCCACCGCTCACCTCCCGCCTGTCTGTGTGAGTCACAGGGCACTGGTCTCTGGGTAATTGCTGCTAATTCAAAGTTCTCCCTGGGGCCCGCTCTGCGGTGCAGTAGGTTAAGCCTTCGCCTGAAGCACCAGCATCCCATAAGGGCACCAGTTCATGTCCTGGCAGCTCCACTTCTAATCCAACTCCTTGCTGATGGCCTGGGAAAGCAGCAGAGGATGACCCAAGTGCTTGGGCGCCTGCACCCACATGGGAGACCTGGAAGAAGCTCCTGGCTCCTGGCTCCGGATAGCCCCAGTTCCAGCTATTGCAGCCATTTGGGGAGTGAACCAGGGGACGGAAGATCTCTCTCCCTCTGTAACTCTACCTCTTAAATAAATAAATGGATCTTTAAAATCTTTCTAAAAAAGAAAGTTCTCCCTCCTGGATGGAGGGTGAGGAGGAGGGGGAGGGCAGGCAGTGAAGAAGCCAGCCTCCGAACAGAAGGCACCGGCGCATGCCCCTCGGGCGGGCCAGTGTCCCCCTCTGCTCTGCGCACAGGCCAGGGCCTTCTCTTTGCAAGGTTGCCCTGAGAAGCCAGACAGCAGCGTTAGGAGCCTCAGGCAGGGAAGCCTGGGACAACTCATCTATTTGGGGATGAGCACGTCACTTCATAAATAAAAATAACAGTGTTCCGGGAGGACCAGATGTCAGCTTTGGGCTCTGAGAGAGTAGGTTTCTAGGAGGTGCCAATCAGAATGCTGCAGCTCTCTCAGGAAGGCGGAGGGGCCTGGCCCAGGATTCCTGCAGGCAAGGAGGGAGGGGGTTCTCATCCTGCCTGAGAGGGACCCAGGCTCTGTTCCCAAAGAGGCCCCTCTCAGAGTCTCACATCAGCTGATCCCGGGTGCAGAGCGACAGGGGCCATGGAGACACGGCTTCAAGGTGGACCCTTCTGTGATCACACAGAAATCCAGGCACGGTCACATCTGACAACATGGGGCAAGGCACAGCCTCGCAGCCAGCCAGCCAGCCAGCCAGCCACGGCTCCTCTGCTCTCCCCTCCAGAGAGGCTCATGGTTGCCCAGCGCCCAGGGAGAGGGTGTGGCAGTGAACACAGCGGGATGCTGATGGGTACAGGGTTTCTAACTGGGGTGAAATAATCGATGGCAATGATGGCTGCACTATTCTGCAAAGACACCAAAAACTGCTGAACTGAAAACCTGAGGTGAACTTAAACAATAGGTATGTGAACTGGATCTCAATGCTGCTAAAAAAAAAAAAAAAAAAAAAAAAAAAACACCACACAACAACCCATGAACAAAGGATTTAAGATAAGATGTTGTGGAACCTTGGGATTAGAAAGGAGCGTGGGGGTGGGTGTTGGCACAGTGGTTAAGTTCCCTCTTGGAACGCCCACATCCCATATCTGAGTCCTGTCTCCTCTGCTTCCTATCCAGACTTCTGCTAATACCTGTCCTGAGAGCAGCAGGTCAGAGCTCAAGTACTTAGATCCGTGCCACTCACGTGGGAGACCTGGACTGAGTTCCTGGCTCCTGGCGTCACCCTGGCCCAGCCCCGGCCTCGGTGAGCATCTGGGGAGTGAATCAGTAGATGGGAGATTTCTCTCTGTCTCTGTCTCTCTCTGCTCCTCAAACAAAATAATTAATTAGTTTAAAAGGAATATGAACAAACCTATGGTGTGTGGCCAGGGTGGGCGCACAAAGTCACCGCACACAGAGAGCTCTTCTCCCAGCAGAAGGAGGCCTCTGGCCTTCTAGACTTCTCAGGGAGGGCCGAGCAGGACAAGGGCCATTCAGAAACTCCTTCCAGCAGAAGACTAAGGAAATCCACTGTGCTCATGCGTGCCTGGCACTGCCAGGTGAGCCCGGAAGGTGCCAGCTGTGCTCCATGCACCTCCTCCCAGGTATGCCGCGGCTCAAGGCCATGCTTCAGTCCCCACGCTCAGCTGTTGGGGCTGCTCCATGCTGGTCACTCCAGTGAAGCCGCCCAACTACGGGGGAGACCTCTCTGGGGCCATATCTACTCTAAGGAGAACCTAAAGATTAGCTCCGCCTAGGAGGGAGAAGCGAACCTAACCAGGGTAGGTGGAGAAAGATTAGCTCTGCCTAGGAGGGAGAAGCGAACCTAACCAGGGTAGGTGGAGAAAGCAAGGGATTAAAGACGGCCTGTTAGAGCCCAGGCTGCAGAGCGGATGGAGGCCAAGATGGCCCCCGTGTGCAAACTCAAGCCAAGAAATCGTTCAGGTCGCTGCAGTCTGGGCACAAGGAGGGTCTCAGACTTCTCACCAGGGTAAGGGTGCTCCAGAAGAGGACAGCTTGCAGGCAAGCCCTTCTCCATCTCAAGCCCGCCTTAAGCCTGACCCGGGCCAGAGGCCAAAGCAACAGGGCTCACCTCAAGGTGAGCCCCCCGAGGCCTCCCTGACCTCCAAGCACCACGGCAAGGACAAGGAAGGTCAGGAACTCCACGCTCCTGCTCCCTCTGTCCATGAATGAGACCCCTGCCCTCAGGTGTGGACAAGCGCAGTGGCCTTCCAGCTGGCCTGGGGGCCTGCCGCTCCCTGCCTGGAACATTCTTATCAACACCAAGAAAATTCTTCTCCCCAGCAGGCTGTTCTGGTCATCAGGGCTGCTCCTAGGGAGGCACAGAGCCTCAGGACAAGCAACACCAGTCTTCCCACCAGCACCTTCACCGTCTCTCCAATTACTTTCCCTCCCCAGAAAAGCAACATACGTCTGTTGTAAAATATATGGGACAAAATATACATAAAGAAGAAATAAAGTGAAAAGCACCCTGACACAGCCATTTCAATGTATTAAAGGGAGCTTTACTTCTCTTTGAAAGTTTATTTGAAGGGGAGAGAGAGATTTATCTTCCATCTCCTGGTTTACTCCCCAAATGCCTGCAACAGATGGGGCCGGGCTGGGCTGGGCTGAAACAGGAGCCAGGAACTCCATCCAGGTCTCCCACATGGGTGGCAGGGGCCCAAGCACCTGGGCCGTCTTCTGCTTTTCCCAGGCCACGAGCAGGGAGTTGGATCAGAAGTGGAGCAGCCAGGATGCAAACGGCCGCCCATACGGAATGCTGGCACTGCAGGTGGCCGCTTTACCTGCCGAGCTACAACACCAGCTGCCCCGTGGACGTTTTTAAATAGGCAGTCGAAAGCGTGTTCCAGCTTTTTGGGACTACCTAGCATCTGTGTCAGATGAACTCTGAAAAGAACATTAAGGGTGACGCTGACCAGTGAAACCAAAGCATAAACTTCCTGACAACAGCCAGTGTGTGATCACAAAACAGGGACAGGAGAGGATGGGGCTTCCTTGTGGACACTGGCTAGTTGTTTTAATGGTAATGCTGACTTTATCCTTTAGCTAATCTGCTTCCCTCTCTTCCTCCCAAAGCTGGTGTGGCTGCCAGGAGCTTCCCCCACTGCCTGTGTCCAGCAGCGGCCTGAGCAGCTGCTCCTCACTGTGGGACACGACATATAGTAACGGCAGCTATGTGACACCTACTCTATATATTATCTTTTAAATTGATAATATTTCTCTAAAAGGCAGAGAGAGCACGTGAGAAAGACAGAGGTTCCCTACCTGCTGTTTGCTCTCCAAATATCCACAATAGCTGGACTGGGTCAGGCTGAAGCCAGAAGGCAGAACCTCAGTCCGCCATCACCTGCTGCCTCCCAGGGTGCACACTAGCAGGAAGCTGGAATTGGGAGGAGAGCTGGGACTTGAACCAGGCACTCTGATATGCAATGCAAGCGTCCCAAGTGGCGTCAACCCCTACATATTATCTTTAAAATCCTCAAAGCAACCGTATGAGACAGATGTCTCTGATTCATATATAATGAATCCACCAAGCTGGGAGTCCAGTGAAGGTGACAGGCACAGTCCCCAGGCCGCACTGCCTCGAAGGACCCTCTGGGCAGCCCAGCTCTCTCCCTGACCCGAGATGCCTTACACACCCCCATCAGAGGCTTCTCTTCCACCCTCCTGCCCCCTGCCCTCACCTGCCCTTGGCTGACCTCCCCACAGAGCAAGGTCACACCCCCAGGTGGGTCTGCGTTCCCCTGTAGCTCCTCCCCCAGGGTCTGGCTGCCCCTCTTTGCTCACGCTGCCTCTCCCCCACCCCCTCTGCCTGCCTCGCCGCCTCAGAGGCTATGCTGGTGGACGCTGGCCGAGTGCAGAGCGCAGGGCCCTGCTCAGGAAGCAGGAACCAGCTCTGCTGCCAAGAAGGAAGCTGGCGCCGCGCTGCAGTGGCTGCTGCCAGGGGGCACACGGGCCGAGGCCGCTTCCTGACTCATGACGGCACTGGCAGGTGGGGCGGCCGCCCCTCTCCCGGTTCCTGGGTGCTCCCACGGCCACCTGCTGCCTGGAATGGGCTGCAAGGGCAAGACCCGCCCTCCTGGCCTGGCCCCCACGGCTCCGTGATGACTCACTCTCAGCCCCTCCGCTACACCATAAACAGGCCAGGCTGTGTGACCTTCCCAGAGGCGAAAACAGCAGCTGCAGGCGGCTCCTCCCCTGCAGCCTGGCCACAGAGCGTGGTTGCCAACAGGAGTGCCCTGAGGCTAAGGCCCCGGGACAGTGAGGCTGGGACCCCCCTCTAAGATGTCCAAGGGTGCGTGCCTGTGCCAGGGCAGGCGGTGAGGTAGCCACAGGCAGGATCAGAGGGCTACCACACAGCGCTTCTGGCAATGACTCTTCTTATGCCCCTCGGGGCATACCCTGGCCTTGGGGAGATTCCACACACAGCCTGGGTAAGCTTAGGAGCCAGGCAGTGGCAGGGGACTGGCACGGGGGCCCTTAGGCCCCTTGCAGAGGTGGCTGGCATAACACACCTGAGTTCTGAATGCCCTGTATAGCCCAGGATCCAGGTACCAGCCTGGACAAGCGGACTCAGCAAAGCCAGGCGAACAATCCAAACAACCAGGCAGCTGCAGGCAC